GCTTCGATGTCTTTAAATCTTGTACAAGTGGTATTTGATTTTTGAAAAGGAAAAGTCGCAAGAGGGTGAGACCTGTAGGGATATGGCGGTTGTCGGGAACGCGGAATATTGTCTTGGCCAAAAACCGCTGTACAAACCATAGTCACTGATGGTGTGGTGAAACGGCCACACTCTACACACTTTCCTTCTAAGCACTGTTATAAACAACGGAATTGAGTAGGAAAGTTATAATTTTGTATGGATGCGCAACAGAGTTCAAGGTCAATCTGTGCAAAGGGGCTTCACTCTGCTTACTTTAGCTCCGTTACCAAAGCAACAATGTCGATACTTTTTTTATCAGATCTCGTATTTTTATTCACACACAGTAAACCCTAATTTTAACGGAACTGTGTTTGAGATTTGCAAACGTATAAATATAGGTATATGCATACAAATTCAAACAATAATAAAAATTTAATTATAACCTAAACTCCTACAATTAATACCCTAACAGTACTTAAGATACCACCAAATCAAATAAGAAAACGCAATAATGGCCAAGTGAAGACATATGTAAGTATTTATTATTTAAGCATTAAAAAAATATTTATATAAAAATCGAAATGTAATTTTCATTAGTCAAGGAAAAACATAAATGCTCAAGGAATAATAATGACAGTATCTGTCTAGATAACCGGAATTAAAAATGGCTACAATTGAAAGAAAAGAGGAAAAAGCGAAAAAGAGATAAAAGAATAAGGAGTGAGTGTAAAGTGGGAAAAAAACGAAGAAAAGGACAAATAACCACGACATTCTACGCGTACGCACATATGCGCAGAGAGGCACATGGCCACACGCGCGCGACGCGCACACATGCACGCACACATACCCTATGAAGAAAGTAACTTGTACCAATGAAGAGTGCATATAAGAAGAAAAATCAATAAGTATAAGCAGTCAATTGCTGATACTCCTGACGAGTGGACGCAGTGATTCTCGGAGGATCCATCTACAAAACTCTGTATTAATTATTAATATATATATATACATTATGCGACTTATCTGCCCAAGAAAACATTAATAATGGAATAATGGGATAATTAATAACAATTTTCAGGCTATCAGAACTTCTGCCAAAAAAGCGCTCAATCGATAACTAGAGCTATAATAATCAAGAAATCAAGAAAAATTCAAGTGACTTGTTGACCGACTCAGTAGGGTCAGACGTTTGGTTTATCAAACGTCTGACCCTGATGAGCGTTTCTATGCTAACCTCTTGACTCGGTTAACCTGATATTTCATTTGAACCTTTCTTGATTTATTGAATGTAGAATAATTAAAAGATGTAAGCGACTGCAACACAAGCACATGAAACGTTTCCAGGATTTCTTCTTTTTCTTTTACTCGGAGTTTACGCAATACAATTCTCAATGGACACTCAAAGTAGAGTGTTAGTGAGTGAGAATGTAAGGGAGGGGGTTTAGAGATTATTATGACGACGAGTAGGACATATATCGGTTGATTCTTAATTTAAATAGACAAAGATTGTAAGTGTCAGGGAAGCATTCTCTCGGGAGTTTCTTCCACAGAGTAACAGTTCTGGAGAAAAATCTGAGTGGAACCTACTTTTTTTTCAAAGGAACACGAAGGGAATGGAGACGGTTTGCCACTGTGAACAGGACGTGGCGTGTCCTAAATGTGAAGATCTGAAGTGGTAATACTAAGGAATCTAACTCGTCCGAACATCTGCCATACTAATATCGATATAGTAGTTAAAGGCTGATTCTTCTTCTTCTTCTTCTTCTTCTTCTTCTTCTTCTTCTTCTTCTTCTTCTATGTGCCAAATCTTTTCAGGACGTGCTTAACCATGGCTCCTAACAATTTCCTATCTTTTGTAGCTCTTAGAAGAAAATGAACCCGATAAACATTACTATTTGGTCTAAGTAGGGCATTATGGTAAATAAATGCATTAAAATATAGAGTGGAGAGAGGTTCAACATTCATAAGCTGTTCCCCAGACTAAAGAATGCATCAAGTGAGCCAAAGTAAAAAAATAAATAAAAAATACACCTAGAAAGAGAAATTGTATTCCCTCAGCTGTGACTCAATGGGTTTGTGAGGAATGTGTCTGCGCCTGCGCACGCTTACCACAAGCTGGGATGAAATGTCGCAATCGGAGTTATATTCGGGAACATCAGATTGAAGGTTACCGTCAACAGGAGGATTTGATGTGTAATCATAAGCAATATAAGAACAAGACTACTCTAACCGGTCATGGGAAGGTACATAATATCAAGTATGAAATCACTGAAGAAATAAATGTCCAAAGTAAATTCGTTTATCAGCAGCAGAATTGAGCCTTTAAAAGCCTTTATGGTCTTATGAGTCATTACAGAGCCCATGTGCGGGTAACGGTACTAGATGCGTAGTTATGCCACAGAGATGGTTATTATCTTAATAGAGTTCATAGCTGCCATATATATATATATATATATATATATATATATATATATGACAATTGGAAAACCGTATCATTGAAACTAGATTTGATTTTCCATTTGTCAAATTTCTTCAAAACTTTTTCGAGATTCTGTGTATTATTTTATACACACACACACACATATATATATATATATATATATATATATATATATATATATATATATATATATATATATCAGGTCCTGCAAGCCTTCTTTTGTGCAAACAACGTGAGTGTTTGTTGGGACTCGCTGTCATTTGTCTCTAGTTCCTTTTCATTTTTTTTTTATTGTACATTTTTCTGTGTTAATTTTAAATCTCCTGTTGAAGCCTGAAGAGCGGGATCGAAACCGGTTGCTTCACCCGTTTTTTTTTTTGTTTGTTTTTTTTTAATGTCTCGTAATATTAAATGTTATACTTTTATTTCGATCATATATATATATATATATATATATATATATATATATATATATATATATATATATATATATATATATATATATATATATAGGCACATTATTCCTCACCGGTATACAATAGGAAATGTAATATAACTGAGCCATTATATATATGTCATATTTTATTAACATTTTCACTCATTATTTTATTAACACCAATACTAACGAGCGATATATATATATATATATATATATATATATATATATATATATATATTATGTATGTGTATGCGTGTGTTCAAAATTTGCTTAATTCGATAAACAAAACCGTTTAATATTTTATTGAATATTCCTAATTTTCGAATACGTTGTATGTCCAGATCTATATTGTGGATAAACTGTACAAAGTCCATGTTTTTATTTTGTTTATATCTGAGTATTTCTGACCATCTGAGTCGTTATCAAGGACTGAAGGTTTTAGTATGATAGAGAAGATTTTGTTGGCTACACCCGAAAATAATTTGGAACGCTACATTTCAAATTCAAATATACTTGTATTATATCAGTGAGGTCATGTTTAGAACGGTTTTGCAAAATATTTCATACGCATCATTTATTATTTTTTATATTTATATACACTGTAAATCTTGCCATCTAAATATAGCATATATCTACATATAGATAAATGTCCATATAACCACTCTGAAGATGTCTCATGTGAGCCGAAACCTTAGATCGAGGAACAGCATAATGAAAAATATCCAAATGTTGGACAGTTTTTGCCTTTATTTTCTCACGAAATTAAAGCAAACTTACGAAGCTTAGAATGGCTCATGATCAAACATAATAAACATTCGTTGTTTGTTATATTTAACAATATATGTTTGAATAATGATTTTATACACATTTTAAAATTTGCATAAAATATTTAATATTATGCAGAGTGGGTTATTGATGTTATAGCAGTCCAGGTTGAACCTTCCCACCAATAACCTTGACATTTTTGTCTTGTTACATTTATAACCTGAGTCGATCTTAGTAGAATGGCGTCTGACATGAAGGTGCTCACGAAGCTGAGGTTTGTCATTGAATCCTTCCACGTGAATAAATTGCAGCCATTGACATTGCTCTATATCTACAGAAACCAAACAGTGTTTGTGAGCACAGCTTGGCAATAGGTAATGTTTCAACAGTAACGGATGCGATGTGTGAATAGAATATAATATTTTATGAGCACAGGATGCATGCTGTTATTCGCCGCTGCCAAAGAAAATGGGGATTAATATGTAACAGGAATATAGCGTTTTCGAAGCTGTAAACCAACTCTATCCAAGTTTGTCTTTGTGCCCCTTGGACCTATTGTAAAGAAATAGGAGGAGTTACTTTCGGAGTTTCAACCATTTTTCACTTTATAAGAACTCTGGAGTAATGGATAGCGGCTCGGATTGAGGAATCGGAGAGTCGAGTTCGAATTCCAGTCGAATCCATTACATTCACTTTGGAAAGGTATGAATCCTCTTCAGCTATGGGTAAATAGCAGGACAGACCGGGTTCTATAGCCTTGGATGGCAACTGGTCTAGCGCAGAAAGAAATAGTAACCTACTGCGGGGAAAAAATCTGCCTCGTCAGTTATGTATCGAAAGCTACATGATCGCCTAAGCGTGTATCACGCATGGCACATAACTGACTGACTGAAGAACTCTGTAAACCTAACGTAATGCCTGTGTAGACACTAACTTTATTATTTAGAAAATTACTTATTGATGTTTGCTCTGAAGTTTCTCTTTCTTGTTTCTTTCTTATTTAATGGCTGATTTTCTATTTACATTATTCCCAATAAGAAATGCTTCAATATATGATTCGTCTTATTCTCCATACTGTATAAAGAACTGAATTAAATAATGCATTGTGTCTTAAATAACGTGACTATAAAATACGGCATTTGTAGATAGCGTCTTCAAGTCTGAAAATGTCATCACTATTTATAGATGCAGACGACACCGAATTAGTCCAAATCCGCGTAATGTTAGGTACTATAAATAAAAATTGCACTTTAAGAGTGTTTAAGAGAACAGTAAGTCTTTAAAAAAAAAAAAAAAAAAAAAAGTTGTATATTATACATTCATTTTCACCCTATAAAGATGCTTCCGGTGACGTCAAAGTATGGCACTACACTTCCGGTACCTGTCTGTACACACTATCTGAAGAACGTCAGACAATGACAGTGACGCTGAATCCCGATAAAAGCAGATTCCTAACGGCTGGCTCGGACGCACTTATTCACATTTATGACTTAGAAAGCAAGAAAAGACTAAACACGTGTGCAGCAAGGTAAGATATCTATCTATTTATCTATCTCTAAACAGCTACAGAAATATAGTAAAAGTTTGTTGTTTTTCAAAAAAGTAAGGGCCATCTAAGAAATCCAAATAATACGAATCCAAAATGTATCTTTACAATCAAACGGGCATTCTGAATAATGTCCTGATTTTTGTTGTTTGTATCAAAACCTTTTGGCCGTTGTACCCTCCGCTTTTATTCAAGTATTGGTCGATTCCAGTAACCTTCAGAGAATTCCTGACCCAAACACTTTATTCATTGTACGAGGATAGGTTGTCCTCGTTCCCCCATTTCTAGTATTACTGCTCTAGTTATTACTAGTCCTTTTCTCACTGAATCTGTATTTGCACTAACTGAACCAGGGATTGAACTCAGAATATCTGTACCACCTAATTCAGGAATCAGCACCTTAATCCACTAGGCTATTGTCCAGTAACTAAAAGATTAAAACATTGGTTCACGACTTTGCTGGCATAGTAATTGTGAGTTCAATCTCAGGGTCGGTTAGTATAAACTCAGACTGAGTTGAAACACGACTAGCAATCACTGAACACTGCTAAAAAATAAGGTATCCTTCGACATGAGCAGCGAAGTGCGAACAATCTACTCCCATAGATTAAATAAAGTGTTCAGTTCAAAATTGCCTGAAGATTACGCGGATAAACAGACATCTGAAGAAGGCCGGAGGGCACAACTGTCGAAATGTTGTGTGATAGTAACAACAGATATATTCAGAATATTAAATTTTCATTAATGTTTTTTTTTTTTTTAAGGAAATAATACTGGCATTAAACTTTGTCGGCGTTCTTAAAGAGCGTGTAAGTCCTTGCGTATTTGATATCAACATTTCCTAACATCAAATCCCTCCGCGCTAATATCCTCTTTGATAAAGTTGTGAAACATACAAATAGGCCAATGTTTTTAACTAAACCCAAAATAAAATATACTCCAAAGTGCTTACAACCAGTGGTTTGTACGGGTTCGCGCGAATCGATTCTTAAAATTATAAAAGCTTAGTGAACCGGTTGTTGGATTATCCAAAAATAATCTCATATATTAATAGCCGATGGTCTAGGTAAAATGTTAGTTACGCTACGTTCGGGTGCGCGCCTAGTCAAACACTTAACAGACACAAGCCAACTACGACAACAATAAACAATAGCCAGCAAGGATGAAAAAAGGTAAAAGAAAGAAATAGATAATGGTAGTTGTGTAGAAAAAAATAGGCGAGAGAAAAAGAACTTTGGCACTTCCCCGATTCAGTTCGAACGTCGCTAAGAAACCATAACACAACTGATGACACTAGTATCAAAAAACATCATACTTCTGAACAGAAATATAATGAGAACACAATTTCAATCTGGAAATATCTTGATAGATGTTTTCTATTAAGTTAAAATGTTTTAATTTGTTTTGATAGTTCCTCGGAACAGAGGGCGTCACCATTTCGCCTGGCGCGCCTTACCACGTGGTTTCAAAGGAACACACGGCTAGTCGAAGCTAATTTCATGGTTTCAAGCAAATCTCTCCTGTCATAGATCTCACGAAGTTTTTTCATCGGCACATAGTTTCGCATCCAAACGTAAACAAAGAGGATTTTTCGAATGGATTTTTATTAATCCGACATATTTGCATCAACTTAAACGTTATTTTTAGTGGATACACGTATTTTAGTAGGCTCTCCATTTAAAACGTATATTTATTTATTTTCACCTACCGGCCTGAATATTCAAGAAATCTTATTAAAGAGCGCAACTTTTATTGCATATTTTATTTTACGATTTAGAGCAGATTTTCTGTAAGTGGGTGAGGGGTCCTGTTTGATCACAAAAATTGATGATTTAAATTTTCCTATAACTTGTCCTTATAACTAATATAAACATTTACCGCTACAAAAAATAATTTCTCGAAATTTCATAAAATTAAATCCGTGTGGGGTAACAAATGTAAAAAAATATTTTACCAAGATTTTCTAAAAGAATTTGAAAAATAATTTAATTTATTTATGAATAAGCCATGAAAATTTCATTACAAGCCAATAATTAATTGATTTTTGCAATAATTTTCAAATTAATGTGTTTTTCATCTCAAAAAGACGCTAAAATTTCCCATAATAATTTATGTCCCACCGTTGACGCATGAGAAACAAAATTTTTAACCATAATTTCGAGGGTTCTAAAACGGATTTTAAAAAATTACATAAAGAAAGACTCTTACTAACACAAACATTTTGACGATAAAATTTAGTTTTTATCTTTTATTAATATATATATATATATATATATATATATATATATATATATATATATATATATATGGCTTTGAGCTAAATGAATTAATATAGAAGAAAAGGAAAATCTCGAATTAAACAACACTAGTTACTTTTGTAATAAGTAGTTTATACTTAGGTACTTTATATAGTATTCAAGATCAATACCAATATTTACTTTCTTTTCTCTTTATTAAACCCAAGCATTTTTTTTTAATTCACCAACGATTTAAGCAACTTTAGTACTAATCCTTGTCTTAAAATTAAGCACCCCGACTACTGATCAAAATCCTAAGTTCCTTATAAAAGAGAAAATCGTTTAGACCAATTGAGAAACGAAAATCTTGAGCCGATGATGAAATTAAAAACAAGATTTTATTTTTCCAACAAAGACTTTCATTAGAAAAAAAACCCTTTTTATTTTATTTATTTATAATTAAAACATTAGTCAAAAATATTTACAATAAACAGAGAACAAAACTAAAACCAAAATGTAAAGATTGTCAAATGTGACATTAGATTTTGGAATAATTGATGGCGGACTCTTATAAATCCCGCTTGTCCAATTACTGGGAATTTAAGTGCATTCCTGTGTGTCTTCATTTACTGGAAATAAACTTAAGTATTTAACGATCAATGAGTCCGCATTTGACACGTGACCGTAAGTTAGGCCATAAACTCATGAATGATACCAGTTCTATTAAACTGCCGTCAGAAGTTGACGTCTTCTACAATTGGTCAATTCGTTTAATTCTTTTTTTTTTTAATCAGTGTCACCCCATGCACGGCAGTAAAGCCACTAAGACAAAAGGGACTACATGGTGTAGAAGAACTAAGACCAGAAGCATTAATAATGAGCGGGAAGAGAAAAGAGTAATCAAGATGATAGTAGATAGCAATTGATATTGCATTTAAATTTTTACAGATTAAAGTTGACTGGAAAGCTTGGACCATAAAGGAAGTTCCACAAGCGAGATGTGCGAGAAAATAAACTGTTAGCATAGAATTTACGGTTACATCTAGACAGCTCAAGTGTAAATAGACGAGACCTCGGCGCCAGTCTAGTACTGCGCTTAAATTAAATATATGATATAACTGATATAGCTTCATTCTGTCTTTTCTACAAATATTTTTATGACAACTGCTCTGGCGACCTTTTTTTTCTTTGGTGCCCTAGCTACATGAATTTAAGCGTGCTACTAGATTGGCATCTAGGTCCCACCCTTTGACTGTTGAAATAGTTAAATATAACCCCTACTTCTACTCCAACTGTTTCTTTTCTTGCACATCCCGACTGTGGAACTCCCTTCCGTTTACTTGCTTCCCTGATAAATACAATCTTCAAAACTTTAAATGCAATGTCAATCACCATCTTCTGTTGCCTCGGTCCCAGTTCATCTTTTAATTTACCTCAATCACCCCCAATAGTTAGTCTTTTCTCTCACTTTCACCCTTTGTAACCCCCCTGCGTTCTGGTGGCACTTGCTTGGGATGAAATGCTTAAAAAAAGAAAAAAAAGGACGGATGTAAGGCGGAAAATAATTCATCAACCACAAGGACGCGGATATGCTTTTGGACTCTTTCGAGAATGTAAAGTAAAGTCTGAGCACATCCTGCCCATATATGGCAGCAGTACTCCATTTTCGGCTTGATCTGGCTCTTATAAAGTTACTGACTGACACTAGCACTGCCGTACAAAACTAAGTTATGTTAGTGTATTCCAAATTTGTTTTTAACTGCCATGTATGACTAGTAATTAGGGTGATACACTCGTCATTATAATTAGTTCTTAAAAACAAAATTTACTATTTGACAAAATCAGACATTTCACATTCCTTTTTTGTGTCTCTTCAGTTTATTACATTTTGGGTTTGTTTGTTTTTTTGTTTTTTTTCTTTTCTTTTTCAGTGATTCAAGACACTTAATGGACGGACATAGGTTTCGGATATTTGCAACACAATACCATCCTTATTCTCCAAACATCTTTTTGTCCGGAGGATGGGACGACACAGTGCAGGTGAGGTGTACAATAGATTATTATGCTTTTTCGTTGAAATAATTTAATTTCTCCAGTTGACAACAACAACCTTTCGCCTTGATTATTGCAACCGCCAAATATTAATCGTTTTGCTTCTTTTTTTTTCTAAATAAAAAAAAATTACGCATAACGATGGATCTTGGGGTCATGTTGGTAGTAGATATATGTCGGACGATGTCATCTTTGGTACAGAACCACATTTTGGGGAACACGCAGCGATCAGAGATTTGAAAACAAGGTTATATTGTTAATAAGGAGGTTTCTAATATCTTTTACCTGAGTTAGAATCCAAGTGAAATTAGTTCGAATTTTATATCACTATCAATTTTCGAAAATTTAAGTAGAGCATTTTCACTATTATGAATTCACAATTGCTTAAGTAATGATGGAGTAATAGTTAGCGGTTCGGATTGACGAATCGAAGAGCCGAATTCGAATTTCAGTCGGATCCAGTACATTCACTTACGGGCTAATACCGTTGGAAAGGTATGAATTACTCTTCTTCTCCCCCACCCACCAGTTATAGGTAAATAGAAGGACAGAAAAAAAAATCTGCCTCGTCAGTCATGTATCGAAAGATACATGATCGCCTAAACGTGTCTCACGTATGGCACATAACTGGAGTAATGGATAGCGCCTTGGATTGAGGAATCTGAGAGCCGAGTTCGAATTTCAGTCGAATCCATTACATTCACTTACGTGCTAATACCCTTGGGAAAGGTATGAATCTTCTTCTTCTCCCTCCAGCTATGGGTAAATAGCAGGACAGACTGGGTTCTATAGCCTTGGATGGCAACTGGTCTAGGAGAAGGACAACTCTGAATTCAAAACTGTATGTAGCAAATACTATACAGCTAAGGAAAGGATCGTTAAAACTCATCATCATTTGTCATCAATCTTATGGTTGCTTCATTTTTAAATGGGCTATTTCCCTATCGTTATTTTTATTATTCCGTCTTATTAATATTGCTTTTTATATGAAGAATTTTCATTATCATTATTTTATTAATAGTCTTACTCCATCTTGTTTTTAGATTAAATATCAGTATTATTATTATTATTATTAACTAATTGAAAAATTCAAGATGAGCATTGTACCCATTTCATTCGCTTTGTACGTAGATTAAATGAAAACCGTTTTTCTAAAGACAAGCGACATCTGTACAAAGACTTGTATTTTTTAATATTTTTATACTTGTATGCGATTTTTAAACTTATTTTGAAGAAGACAGACATACTGTGAAAATACTGTAAAGCAATTTTAAACACTGTAACTTTTCTTTAAATCTTCTCATTGTTGCAATTTTTATGAAGCATTTTCACTACTTTTATTTTATTACGAGTTTTACACAATTATTATTGTTTTCCAGATGAAGTATTTTCACAATTATTATTTTCTTATTAGATTTACTCCATCTTATTAATGTTGCTTTTAGATGTAGTATTCTCTTCGTTGTTATTGTTTCAATATTTTATTGTTGCTTTTTACATTAAATAGTAACACTGTTTTTATTTTATTAAGAGCTTTCTTCTATGTTATTGTTAATTTTTAAATGATTTTTACTCCTATTTTCTTTAGTTTTATGGCTTTTTGTCACAATACATCAGTTTGATATACTCTTCGTTCGTTATAGCAAACAGAACAAAATCAGCTGAAACGTAGACGTAGCTTCAGCAAGACTTGAACCCACATCCTCGAACACTAGTGAAAAGGCTTCGGGCAAAAATTTCAAAAAAATAAGGCGATGTCCATGAAAAACATGAAGGTCACGCTTCGTCGGAACAAAATTCCGTTCGAATAAATCAAAAGTTAAAATTAGCTTCTGAATTTCTGGGATAAGAAGTTATCGTTATTTACATTATTTAAACGCGAATAGTTTTTTGTTGCTATCACGTTTCAACCGCCAGATCAGGATTAATAATATTGCAGATTCTTCTTTGGTTCTTATCAAGGAGCACAAGGTAAACAGCAGGGGCATCAAACCATATGTGGCAGCAATATTCTAAGTATGGACAAATGGTAGACTTATAGATATGTAGTAGGTCTTCAGGTTGGCATCCTGTGCCTTCACATATTCGCATTTGTCTTCCGGTTGAATGGCACTTGATCCCGTGTTTTTAATTATTTATTTACCACACTTCCCTTTTCCCCACTTATGGACAGCGAGTGGTCGCTTTGAAGATCTCGGGAAATCTGTCGTCATCACACGCTTTCTTTCCAGTGTGAACATTTATCCATCTCATCTGGTAGGTCTTCAATCTAATGTGTCTATACGTATTTGTTGCATGTAAAAATTTCCATGTTTTGGTGTCTACAAGCGAGCGTCACTGATAAGCATATGTCTACTCCTCCGGCAATGCCACTTACGTCATGTTCTTCTCTCCAGAACGACTTTTGTGAAGAGAAATTGATGGCCCATATAAGCTGCTTTTTGTAGGGTGCTCTTTCCAGATATTCAGTGTAACACGTAGCATTTAGCATCATACTAATTACTTTGTCAGTGTCCATGTGATGCTATCATAGAGTAAGACATAGAGGTAAGGCTATTTTTTACAATGATGTTCATTTATACAAGGTCCAAGAGCCTCTCGAGGTAGAGAGTTACAGATTAAGAGGCATAGTTTATGGGAATATATGGGGAAGATAACGATTAACCCTAGACTTGAATAAGTTGAGATTGTAGTGATCGGGGGAAGCATCATATTGAGAGTCGGTTCCACAAAGCAACGGTTCGTGGGAAAAAGTCGCTCGAGTGAAACTTACATCTCCCCAAGGGAATACGAAGAGAATGATAGTGGTTCGTTACAATCTGCATGGTATGGCGGGTCTTGGCTGTGAAGGATAGAAGTGTTGGAATGTAGATCATTGGAACACTTTTCATGGAAACAGCGATATATGTTCGACTTCTTTCGAAAGTAATTTAATGAACTTTAATAATAGTGCGCCGCGGTTCACCAGTGTGTCACTGCTCACCATTTGGCCGCGGCTCACCAGTGTGTCACTGCTCACCATTTGGCCGCGGCTCACCAGTGTGTCACTGCTCACCATTTGGCCGCGGCTCACCAGTGGGTCACCGTTTCAATTTATCAAGTAAACCAGATTTCCATACTACTGACAGCCTAGGAAAAATTAAACTCTATCTCAGACTGTAACTGCTCCCAATTTGAATCAGTTTATCTTAACACTATGACTATTTATAAACATGCAGTTCAGATAGTTGCATGTAAGTATTCATTCGTTTAAGTATTAATTTGTAAAAGAAACTCTGTTTATCTTTTTCAGTACTGGGACGACCGGAAGCAACATGCCTTCAGGCAAGTAATTTTTTTGCGAACTTTTATCTCAACAAATAGTTTGTTTTTTTTTAAATTGCAAAAATCTATATTATTCATTTATGGTATTATTTTTTACTTATTAAATTTTATTTCACGCCAGTATTTCGTCAACTACTCTCGGTCACTGTATGATACAAATGGCTACGGTCGCCTCACGGCCGATAAGTGTCCCTTATATCCTTGTTTGCGATGTATGAGAGACTGCCCAATTCCTTCCTGAAGTAGTTGTATATATAACTAACTGCGCAGCGGTTTTTCCTTCGTGCGCACATATCAAGTGCAGCTGAGCGCATAAATGTTCACCTCTTGGGGCGGGAGAATCAGGTAAATCGTGATCTCCACCCGCTTCGTCTGTTAACATCTCAGGTCAACCCTTTACCCAGCTTCCTTGATAATCTGCTGTGAAATTGAGTACAAATTCTATTCTTATATAATGCTACACGATTCCTGGTGAACATCCCTAAACATGATCTTGACAACAATTTGCCTTCTGTCATATTTGACTCGATTTTTGTGTAGTTCTCTTTTCAAGAGTGTTTGTAATGTGATTGACATGGAAGCCAACATACAAAATTTGACCTCTGCCTGAAATCGAAGGTCATCTACTGATGTTGATTCTCAAAAACGGATTTTTTTATTTAATTTATGAATATAATTGATAGTTAAAGAGTAATAATTCATGTTTCACTTTCGTTCTCTTCATCTTTCTTTTAATCAAAGTCAATTCTTTGCCGAAATGGGTCTGCCTTTTTTTGAAAACACCCTGTTCTATTTACATATTCTAAGCAGAGTGCTAAGAAATAGAACAAACTTCTCTAGAAGCAAGGAAAAGAGTACGAACACTGTTACGTGATATCCATCCTGCTGACAGTGAATGCTAGACAATCGCCCCAACGGTGAAGAAGAAACTTGAATCAATAGAAATGTGTTTCTACATAAGGATGCTGCGAATAACATTGACCGAACATGTGAGCAACGACGAAGTTTTAGAGAAAATGGAAACAAAAAGGATACTTAACATCAGGAAGAAACAGTTGAGTTTTCTAGGGCACATAATGGAGAAGAGGGTTGGAAAATTTGATACTCACAAGACAGATTGAAGGACAGAGAAAAACAGGACATAAGCTTGAGTAAATGAATGGCGGAACAAGGTTTAGGAGAAATAACAAAAAGAGATACGAAGTGCAGGAAGTTCTGGAGAGGCATTATCGCTTACCTTCTTAGAGGGCACGTCACATAAAAAAAGATGATGAGAAGATGAATAATAAACCAAAATCATCATCACCGCTCTCCGACTTTATTTGGTCATTTTTTGCGTGGAAGGTTTTTTTTTAGTGTGTCATAAATCGCAGACGTTGAACATCAGGTGAACAATTCCTTTTTTAATCACCTCTTGAAAAATTGTAAACTGGGAAATGAATTTAATTTTAAATATTTGCTCTCGGAGCTCTTTTTCAGTAAATATTTTTTTAAATTTTCAGCATGTATGTTTTTTTTATTTTTTCTGCAAATATTTTTTTACTTTTACAGCAAATATTTTTTCCTCTCGGTGCGTGTATTGTCTATGATGATGCATATTCTTTCTTCTTTATTCCCCACAACAATGACGTTCTGGGTATGACGTTAAAGGATACTCAACTTATCAATCATTTCAGGAGGCACCAAGCATGAGTTGTATTACAATATCATAATTTTATAATTTGTATTTTCATAATTTTCATATTTTTTTTTATTTCAGTTGTAACTCGACGCTTGCTTGTTTCAAATAATCCTGAACATGCTTCGTGTTAACGTAACGGATTACCTTATTATTTAGTAGTATTGAGACCAGGTTGCTAATTAATATCTAAAGGCTAATTCTATTGTTATGGACAGAAAAATAAAAAAATATTCACATTGTTCATTTATAGGCAGATCATTGTCATTATTAATAACAATACAGTGAACGACACTGGGAAGTTAGACGTCTAAAAGAATCAGCATTTATTCTAGACTATGAGGATTTCCTTTGTAAGCCTAGCATATAAAGAGATAGAATATGGACGACGTTAAGAAATAATAAAAGAGAAATGACAGAAAAGCTTCCACAGCAGCATCAGCAACAGTAAAAATTTAGGTTTAAGAATTCAAGTTCTCCACTCCGAATTGTCCAACAATAACCTAGCTTTAGGTTTGTGGATTTGGTGACATAGTAATTGAGTTCAATTCCTGAGCCGAGCAGTGTGCATTTGGTCTCATTGGAGACGGGACGAACAATAACTGAACTTAAGTAAATAGGAACTAAACGGGATATCCCTAGACAGGAACATCAGAACGAGAACAGTATAGTTCCCTGAAAAGCACTTGGTGAAGGCCGAAGTGGACATCGACCGTTGTGACAGTAACAACGAAGATGATGACAGTAACCCGCATGTGAATACTAATTTTATTCTTTTTCTTACGAATAATGCCCTTTTTATAGTGACTATATTCTTCGTCTTTTTTGTCTCTTTTTACAGTGGTGTTTACTCTGTATAAGGCCCGAGAGCCACTCGAGATAGAGGGTAACAGGGTAAGAGTAACAGTTTATGCGGTTAACCCTAGACTTGAACAGATTGTAGTGATCGGAGAAGCAGCCTCTTGGGAGTTAGTTCCACAAGGCAGCGGTTCGTGGGAAGAAACTGCTCGAGTGGAACTTACATCTCACCAGAGGGCATATGAAGGGAATGAGGGTGGTCCGCTACAATGGTCGTATCATGGCGGGTCAGCCGTGAAGGTTATGGCTGGTGGAACTGTGCTTCATCTGAACACTCACCATGGAAATAGAAAGAGGCTTGCGACGTCTCGTCTGTGAGAAAAAGGTTGCATAGCTGAAAATAATTCGTCGCCTACAAGGACGCGGAGACGCTTTTGGGCTCTATAATAAGTAGAAAGTGAAGTATGGGCGGCTCATATATGGCAGCATTGTCGGCCTGATCTGACTCTTGTAACGGTCGAGGAGAGCAAGAGTCAGGTACTTGCTGGATCGGTGCAATCATTAGCCGAGATAACTAAAAGACATAATTTATTAAGAGCTACAAAGGACAGGAAACTGTGGAGAATCACAATCGCTAACGTCCTGAAGGGACACGGTACACAGAAGAAGAAGCTTATTGCTATATTTATTCTTCTTAATCAGTATTATTTTCGTTAAATTTCTCCTATATATTCTTTTCCTTCTATGATAACGATTAATAACCTTTATCCTTTACTCATCATCATTAACATTTTGTCTTTTGTCTACGTTATTCGTTTCATCCTCATTATTAACCACTTGAAGCCATATCAGGTCACCCTAACCGTTTCTCTCTCATTCTCTCTATTTTTTTCCTTCATTTCCTTTTCTAACAAATGGTTGTTTGAACTTTCGGAAATAGCAAACACCTGCATCACCGCGCGGCCACATGTTTCGCTTCCACACTAACCTTGCCGGCGAAGGTTCAGAAAAATGCGAAGACTCTCGCCATACCGCCATTTTTAGTGTCGTCTGCTTCAATTGAAGTTGCTTCAATATGGAACACAACGTTTTCCTTCACTAAAAGAAAAAAAATAGCCGAGCAAACTCGGTTGCTGTTTTTACAGATGCCAAAATCCGAGGGGGGGGGAGCTACGGTTGTTCTGCCATTAAATGCTCCGGCTTCTGTTTCTCACGCCTATTTGGCATGTCTAGAATACAAACAAAAATTGCTGGCTCTAAGAGAAAAAAAAACGTATAAAAGTAATTATAAAAAGCAGCGGTCATCAAATATGAAAGATAATTCATCTTATTTTTTTATCATGGACAAAAAGATTCACCAAATATGGATAACCGTACTCGCAATAAGACGTATTGTCAATAAGACGTTTTTCTCGCATGACACGTCTTTTTTTAACTACCTTCATTCTTCTGCTATGTTTATTGTTTTAAGAAGCGATGATTAGAACTGGAATAAAATCTAAACATATGATGAAAAAGAATTTATACATATTTTTTTCTTGAGATTTTACAACAAAAATATTAAACATTATTTATTTATTAGAGTGTTTATTTACAAAAATAATTTGATATTTACAACATTCTAAAAACTAATGCAATTCGAACAAAATTGTAAAACTTATAAATTTATAAAGAAATACACGTGAAAACAATTTTTATTCATAAATTTATAGACATTTAATAAATTATTAAAATATGTGAACCAACTATAAGGAAATGCTTATTATTTTCCATTTTATAAAGTTTGAATCATTTCGCAATTAGCCGATATTTTGGTAACCATTCCAAATGTAAATAAAAATATCTAATAAATAAATAGTGTTTATTATTTTTTTATAATATATATAAAATATGTTTTATTACTATATTAATAATCATGAACATTAAACTTACGTTTAAATTTAATTTCATACTCGGGATAAATTAGAAAGCTTAGAATTTTTCTTATTTACCTTTTCTATTAACTGTGATGAAAAAAGGAGCTTAGCCCAATATATTTCCACAAGCCACATATTAAAGGTCAGGGAGCCGCATGTGGGTCATGAGATGCGGTTTGGCCTAACCCTACATCCTGGTCACTCCAGTATGACTACCCGATGAGAACCTATAAGACTGGGTTTTAACTACCATTATCTCGCGAGATAAATGTATGCTTATAATATTGAAAAAAGAATCCGTGTTTTCATCTCTGGCCGTTGATTTGTTGCATGAACAAGCACGCCTTTCACTGCTGTAAGCAGAAATCGAACCACGGTGTGGAAAAACGGGTGCTGACAAGTTGGTAACAGATTGACCGAGAGAGGACCTGAGGCCGTATGTTTACAACATAGTCATAGAATGTCAGGGAAATGAGTTTAAATTTTTGAGCAATGGTGTATGAAATTTATACGAGTGAACGGTGTCAAAACACGATGGGAACTTTTGCATGAAATTAATATTTAACTTGGGGAAACAAGTTCCCGTGGAGTAAAATCCATTCTCAGAAAATTCCACAAGGCTGTCCGGCAATGAAATAGAGACACCTACATTTTAAATAATAACGACTCAAGCTCGAAACCTGCGGGGTTTGTGTTAAACAACAAAACTTATCTTAGATTGAGTCATAAATAATTTCCATTTTGTTTAGCAACTTTATTCTTCAAAGCATAATATATATATATATATATATATATATATATATATATATATATATAGATAGATAGATAGATAGATAGATAGATAGATACGAGCACAATATCCTCCAGGTTTGACAGCCACCATATTCTGCAGGTCTCGTCTCTTGCAATTTTTTTCTCTTTCCAAAAATCAAATCCCACTTGAAAGGAACAAGATTTCAAGACATTGAGGAAATCCCAGAGAATGTGATATGGCAGCTGCTCGCTATCTCCGAAAAGGAGTTCCAGGGATGCTTCCATCAATGGAAACAACGCTGGATAAAGTGTGCGTCTTCAGAAGCGGACTACTTCGAAGGAGATTAAATGTCGAATTGATAGGTTTTGTAGTTTTGTTTTTATACTTCCAGTCCCGATACTTTTTGAACAGATCTATTATTATTCTTATTTGCAATGACTTGTTGCCACTTATCAGGCAGTTCTTCTCTATCTTTTGAGGAAAGATTGCTCAGATTATGATGCGAAAACTTTTTTGACTAACCCTTGAATCTGGTTTTCATTAGTGAAAGCGTTTTGCAGTGAACGAAAAAGGTAATAATCGGTTGGTGCAAATTCAGGTGAATATGATGGTTGGGGTTAAGCAGACAGACCGACCGAGTTTCAAAATATTTTCCTCTCTATGCAGTCTTGTGTTGTCATGGAAAAATAACATTATTTTCCTACTGACCAAATTTTTATGGACACGTTGCAACTGCTAGACTTGCAAATGTGCATTTATGTTTCATTACGTTTTAAGAACTCTAAATGATTAACAACCCGACGATTCCACCATGCACAAACATCACCTTTGTGAATCGGCTTTTCGGATTGTTTGTAAGGGTTACCAATCCACTACTTTTTGCATTGTGGTATGTCACCCACTGTTCATCACCTGTTATATATTTTAAGGAACGGTGAGCTGCGTGGGGATACACTCGGTTTTATAATCGATTCCTGAAAACGGAAATTACTTATGACTCAACGTAATTTTTTTTCTTTTTCGTAATCCTTAATATTCTTTTTCTGGCAATGTTCTTTCTTTTGCAGGAAGTTTGCTGGACCCCACATCTGCGGTGAAGCTCTCGATATAGATCCGGTACAGAATCAAATTTTGACAGGTTCTTGGAGAAGAGGTGAAGTCTTACAGGTAAGGTTAGGTAGTCTGACAACAAAGGGGGGGGCGCTTAGATGAATTTATGCAAATAATAAAAATAATAATAACACAACTGCAAAAAAGTGCTCACTAGATAACTTGAGCTATAATATTCAGTTAATTAAGAAAAGTTCTCTTGTCTGATTAGCCGACTCAAGAGCTTCGCGTTGAAATCAAGGCCAGATGTTTGATAAAGAATTTTTCAAACATCAGGCCTGATGAGAAAACTCTTGCGTCGTCTAACCAGATAATAATAATAATAATAATAATAATAATAATAATAATAATAATAATGAAAGACATCAATAACTCCAGTTCCTGTTTGAGCCCTCGGTTTGATTGGAAAAGGTTCTGGTAGGCTTATTGAAGTGGATCCCTGGCAAGTAAGAAAAATGCAAAAAAATTATTCTCACATGTACAGCTCACACCTTATGAAGAGCTTTATCAATGTAAAATGTGTTTGTTCTATCGCTATATCAATGTAAATTGTTCTGATGAGCTACATTCTCTAGTTACTCCAGCTCAGACCTTTAGAGCCAGAACAAGCTTTGCCAGTTACACTGGGTCAAATCATCCCCATTCCCTTTGTATTCCAATGGTATATAGGAAATTCCATTTGGACAGCTTCTTACGCAACGGCTGTTGCTTTGTGGAGCATACTCCCAAGAGTTTTCTCTATCACTACAATCAAAACTAGAGACAGCAGTGATTTGTCCTACATATCCTCATACTCCATGATTCGTACGTCCATAAAATGACCACATTTAACAACCCTATACTTTGAGGAGCTCTAAGGGCCACTAAAAATAACATTGCTAATGGATTGATATAGAAAAGCATTGCAAGTAAATTTACTGAAATCATGTGAGAAGAGATTACCAAAAACTTGGAATTATTATTATTATTATTATTTTCTTTCATTTCTGGCGTTTACACATTTCTTTCCGGGTCCCTAAGGTTAGAAATGGCGTATTGACACTTTCCACTGACAAAAAAAAAAAAAAAAAAAAAAAAAAATTACATAGATAAAGTCCTTCGTAAGGTGTGGGCTGTACTTGTCAGAACAATTTTTTGTATCTCCTTGAGGCATGGACTTCCAGGAATCCCTTCAATTAGTCTACTGCAATCTTTTCCAACCAGTCCTAGGGCTCCAACTACAACAGGGATTGTTGATGTTCCCATATGCCACATTTTCGAGATTTCTATTTCAAGGTCCTTGTACTTTGACAACTTTTTGAATATCTTCAAAGATACATTGCAGTCAGCAGGGACTGCCATATCAATAAGGAGGCACCGTTTTTGTTTGTGGTCTTTAATAACAATATCTGGGCGGTTGGCCTTGATTGTTCTGTCAGTGTGTATTGTGTAGTCCCATAGAATTGTAACAGGTCCTATCTCCGTAACCGGGTCTGGGTGATTATTATTATTATTATTATTATTATTATTTCCTTTGATTTCTGTTATATACTCATTTCCTTCCGGGTCCCAACCAGAGACCCAAGGTTAGAAATGGCATCATGACATTTTCCCAGAACATTTTTTAACTTAAATTTTTCGACGTTTCATTCATGCGAAAGAGCTTGCCGGGTGTAAAATAATTCATCCCCCACAAGGCCCCCTGGACACCTGTTGCGATTATTGGTTGAGAATTTCCACCTAGCTGGGTGCTTCTATTCCACCATTCGGGAGGAAAAGGTTGCCAGAATGGAACTTCTTGCCAATGACGAAGGGAATGTGGATGGCTCGCCCCTGTGTTTATGGTATGGCAGGTCTTAGCTGTAAAGGTCTGAACTGAATGAACTAGGGAATGTATCTCATCAGAACATTTTCTATGGGAATTGTAGCGATAGGCTTGAGGTGTTGCGTCTGTGGGAGAAGGACTGTCGGGTGAAGCATAATACATCGCCTACAAAGCCTATAATTTACATTATATATATATAATAACTCTAAAAGTAAGCATCTGTTAGTGGGAAAGTAGGTAGATGGGCTACTCTCTGTTACAGGCAGTTACTCAGATATATTTGTGTTTGTTCGACATCCACAAAGTTAACCAGTGCTTTATACTGCAACTATGCTAAAGATTACAGGGTGTGAAAGTGAATGAGAACGCGAAGAGTGAAAAGGGGGAGGACTGAAGAAAAGTCAGGACCAATAATATTGATCATTATTCTTTGGATTTTATCAAGAATCTCTAAATATGTAGCAGGAGCACTGGACCATATTTGGCAGGAATATTCTAAGCATGGACGAATGATAGACTTATAGATATGTAAGATAAATTCCGGAGAGAAAAATTTCTGTAGTACGACACAATGAACAAACTTTCTTGTCAGCAGAGCTAGCAATGGATTCAATATAGTCTTCCCACTTCATGTCAGCCGAGAATGTTAACCCGTGAAGGTTCAACGAGTCACTCTCCTGGTGGTTAGCATCAGCCATGCTGATGTAAAGGCAGAAAGTAGTCTCTCAGATTATTAACAGAGAACAGTTTTGTTTTAGAGGCGTTAAAATTAACAAGCTATTCTTTGCCCTAGTTAACCACAGACTGTCGTTTTTTAGATCAGTCACCAATTTGACCTTATCAAACTGATCAGACTTAGTATCGAGATAGGAGCAAATGGTTGTGTCGTCAGCATAGATACCAAGTTGAGAGCTGATGTCATCAGGGAGGTCGTTAATGAAAATTAAAAACAAAGTAGGAACAAGGATGGAACCCTGGGGGTGATCTGCATTAGTACAGAAAGAACAAGAAGAGTGACCGTTCAGGGTAACTTTCATTCCACGATTTGATAAGAAATAATGGATCAGTTCAAAATTTCGTCCGGAGACATCATAATTTTTAAAGAAGACCGGTATAACAACAGGGAAACAAGAAATCGGAAGGGAGTTCTACTAGTGGGAAGTACGATAAAAAATTTTTTAGAGTAGTAATGACGGTTGCATCTTGCTAGTTCAACAGTAAAACGGGGAGACCTAGTTGCCAATCGAGTAGCACGCTTAAATTCATGTAGTCGGGACACCAAGAAAAAAAGCTCGTCCGAGCAATTACCATGAAAATATCTGTAGAACAGGCAGTGGTAAGCCAAGTCACGTCTGTGAGGAAGAGACTGGAGACGAGATGCCTAGTTAAGATTGATTGTATTGCAGACCCTTCTTTGGATTTTGTCAAGAATCTCGAGATACACAGTGGGAGTACCAGAATAGTATTCAATGCACGAACAAATGGTAGATTTGTAAATGTGCAAGATGACGTGAAAATATTTTGGCACGGCACAGTGAAACAATCTTCCTTGCGGCAGACGTAGCAGTTGAAGCGATATAGTCGCTCCACCTCATGTCAGTGGAAAACGTGAAGCCAAGAAGGCGTAGAGTGTTGCTCTCCTGGAGTTCAGCATAAATCAAGAGTCAGATTAGACCAAAAATAGTGTTGCTGCAATACTTGGAACAGACTTGCTCAATCCTTACTTTCCACCTTTGATATTCTGTCTTTTTGGTGGTGACTTTTAGGGGGTGAGTTATTTTCTACTCTTCAGTCTCTTTCTCTATCCCATTGATATTTCTATGGCAAATTTCAGAAGAGTTCTCTTCTTTAGTTGTACGGTAACTAAGACTCGCCATGCCTACGTCCACGAACTCAAATCACCTACATTTCCCCCTGTTTCAATTCTGAACTTTTTTCCCCAAGAACTTCTACTTTGTAGAACAAGCTCCTGCCTGGGTAATTCCCTGCACGCTACAATCTTAACTCCCTTAAATCAAGACTTAATCGCTACCTGTCTTTCTTGCTCTCATAATATTCGCTTTATCCTATCTCCTCTTACACTAATATTATACACCTCATTCATTAACCCTCTACCATGAATGGCTCTTGTGACTTGTGTAGGGCGAATTTAATATGATGATAACAAAACCTTTCCAATGGTGCTGAGATACTCTCCCTAGACGGATATTATCTAAAAACTCACTCCCCTGACAATTCGACAATGGTGAAAATCGAAGCATTCGGCTACGCACCCACATCAACCCTTATTATCGGTACACCATTAAGCTGTACTCGGCTAGCAGGTGAGTGGCAACAGGAAATATAAAAGACCTACCAACCTTCGCGACGTTCCAGAACATTGTTTTGCGTCAACGGTATGCGCTGTGTCATCATTCGTATTTGCGGAGCCACTTCTCACGGCGTCACGCAACACTGGATAGAGACCGAAATGACAATCTAAAAGCGCTTGATAAAAGGTGACATTTGAGTCAGAAATGATTTATGCTTAGGCGAAAAAAATTCGCCTGTCAATATTTTTGGCGTTGACAGAAAGAAAATATGCTCAACCAGCTACGGTTTTATGTTGTAAGATGAATAACTGCAGGTGATTGCAAACCAAAACCAATGCACCTGTACATCTGTGTAAATGTCATTTTTTGTGCGCCTCGAAAAACAAACAACTTTCTGATGCGTTAATTATGAATCATACTTGACATTATTTCCTTGTACTCTAAGGTTTTTGAATTAACTCTTAACATCCTGTTCCACAGGGTCCTGCACAACACTGCTTTGGTCATTCAGTTCTGAAACACAGAAAATAGTACAAATTTAATTAAACCTGTTGATATTTGTTTTAAAGGATGGGATAGTCTCTCTAAGTTTGGAAGGCATCTTTCGCTATCCCAATGCACCTTCAGACTCCGGTGTCGTATTTTTCGCCCTCTGTTAAAACATTTCCTAGATATTCAAATGTTTTGTTCTTACTTAATTTTGGTATCTCCAAATTGTAGGTCGCATAATGAGCTGTTTCTTTTCTTTTACTGACAAACATATATTCTGCCTTCTTATCATTGAGGCTTATGGCCATATTTAAACACTGGTTCACGAGCGATCACCGAAGTTAAGCAACGTCGAGATTGGTCAGTATCTTGATGGGTGACCACTTGGGAATACCACATGCTGTAAGCTTGAATGGGTGAGTGGTGGGATGGAGAACGACTCGGAATTATTAATCGAGAGCCGAGTTCCAATTCCAGTCGGGTTCGTTCTATTGACTTACGCGCAAATAAAAAAAAAGGGAAAGGTATGAATCCACTTTCTTTCCCCCAGCTATGTCTTAATTAGTTAGGCTTGTATCAGTAAATCCTTATTATTTTTTAAAAATCTTCTTATAATCTAAAAATATTTTGTGACTCTAAATGAGCTGTAAAAGGTTGATAAACCGTAAAAACAAATCAATCAAGCATTACTTCCGCCATTCAGTCCTAAAACACAGGATATAATACAAATCGAACTAAACTTTCTGACATCTTTTTTAAACAAAGGGATGATCTCTCTAATGTGTTACAGCTATATCACGTAGAAAGACAGGTTCTTGCACGATCACCGAAGTTAAGTAACGTCGAGCCTGGTCAGTATCTAGATGGGTAACCGCTTGGGGACACCAAGTGCTGTGTGGTGTAATGGATAACGGCTCAGAATTTTTAATAAGTGAGCCGAGTTTCAATTCCAGTTGGGCTTGTTGTATTCACTTACGCACAAATACCCTTGGGAAATGTATCCACCTCTTCTCTCCCCCAGTTATACATTGATTAGTAAGACTTATATCAGTAAGATCATTATTATCTCAAAAAAATCTTACAATTTAAAAAAATTTCCTGGCTTTAAATAACCTGCAAAAAAGTTGATAAGCCTTAAAAAACAAACCAGTCTAATTCGAGGAAGACATCCCTTACTCGATTGTTAATTTCTATTCAACATCATTGGACAATTTCAAAACGGGATGTTCTATGTTAAAAGATTACAAAACCACGGAAACGGGAATCCTGAATCTATAAATTAGCATATCTCTTTTTTATATATATATATATATATATATATATATTTTAAATTGTATTTTTAGGCATATATATTTTCATTTATACACGTTTCATTAAATAATATAGACAAGTGTTGTCTATTTATTTTATGTAAAATTTTTCGTATCTTCTGATAAGTTTGGTAACATTATCATTAACCGAAAAAAGAAATTCACAATATTTATCCATTATTTTTTAATAAAATCTAAGCTTTCGGCTTACTCAAGCCATTATCAAAGATGTAAATACAAACATATCAAACAATATACGGACACGACAGTGATGATATAGTCTGTCATTGTTTTGTTTACATAGTGGATCACTAAGCAACGATGAACACGCGCATATAAGACGCTAGAAGCGAAAATCGCACCGCATCTCATGACGTCACACATGACTACACGAAAGTGAATTGAGAATGAAATAAGGAAAGCCGTTGGTATAATCCAATGGCTTCTGTTACCAATTATTGAAATTATAGACATTTAAGAATATTTGTAGAGATTCCATAGTTGATTTTGTTTAGGTTGGGTTTTAACTGTTTGATGTATAATGCTTCAAGTATTTTTTAGTTTTTGTCTATTGTTTTCATGTCGAAGTATAGTTGTGTTTTCGACAAGTATTTTACGGAATTGTGTGTGCGGGCAGGCATGTTGTTTTAAATGCCTAAAATGTTAGAGTTTTCATTAAAATGTAGTGTCAAGCGTCGTGAAAGCGAGTTTGTGGTGTGACCAACATAAATATTAATTAATTCGTTGGAGATACACTCTCCCAAAGGGCACTTTGAATTTATAAACTATGTTGGTTTTTGCAAATCGCTAATCGGGGGAGAAGAATCATTGTCTGTATTAAGTTGGATATACTAGATTTAGTGTAGTATATTTTAATTTATTTAAAACAACATGCCTGCCTGCACACAATTCAATTTATCATAAAATACTTGTCGAAAACACAACTATACTTCGACATGAAAACAATAGACAAAAAACTAAAAATACTTGAAGCATTATACATCAAACAACAGTTAAAACCCAACCTAAACAAAATCAACTATGGAATCTCTACAAATATTCTTAAATGTCTATAATTTCAATAATTGGTAACAGAAGCCATTGATTATACCAACGGCTTTCCTTATTTCATTCTCCAATTCACTTTCGTGTAGTCATGTGTGACGTCATGAGATGCGGTGCGATTTTCGCTTCTAGCGTCTTATATGCGCGTGTTCATCGTTGCTTAGTGATTCACTATGTAAACAAAACAATGACAGACTATATCATCACTGTCGTGTCCGTATATTGGTTGATATGTTTGTATTTACATCTTTGATAATGGCTTGAGTAAGCCGAAAGCTTAGATTTTATTAAAAAATAATGGATAAATATTGTGAATTTCTTTTTTCGGTTAATGATAATGTTACCAAACTTATCAGAAGATACGAAAAAATTTTACATAAAATAAATAGACAACACTTGTCTATATTATTTAATGAAACGTGTATATATATATATATATATATATATATGACTCTGAACCTAAAGAGCCACTTTAGGTTAATAGTTAGATTTGCTCTACTTAGTATATTGAGCACTTTGCTTAGTTATTTTTACTTTACTCGTGTCGGAGGTTTTTTCTTTGAACTCTGAGGTTGGATTCTGGATGATTGTTTTTGCCTGAATTACGTGTTCTTAGTTCTTTCTTTTTCCATTCCTTATTTTTCCTTGGGTATTGGTTTGTTCATTTATAAGCCAAAATAGCTAAGGTTTTTTTTTTTCGGACGAGTATACTTACTTATATTTATAAGATTATTATTATTATTATTATTATATAAGAATAAACACTGAGATCAATACGGGTGGCGACAGTCTGTTCCATGATTGGAAATCATCTTCTGACCATGTGTGTTAGCTCGACTATGTGTATATGCTGGCCAGTGGGGCATTACGGACAGTAAAATCACTTTGTTCATCTAAAATCGCTACTCATTGACCAACATATATAAACGAGTTCCCTTCCAAAACACATGGCCTGAACATTGCATCCAAGCATGAAACAGATTGTCATCAAAATCTGGAACACAGATTTATATTTTGATAAGATTCGATAGCGTCACTCTCAAGAATTTTCCATCTAAGTTACCTTCTCTTTTAATAATTATGGCATTCTTCAGATCAATGTTGTGGTTGAATTTACCTCTGACAATAACTTAATCTATTCTGTCTGTCCAAGACTATCCAAAAGGAGAATTAACGTTATTTTGGTCTTTCAATTCAAATAAAGTCCCTACCAGCTTCTTAATGATAGCCCTCAAAAAGCCAAAATTTGTATCTAATACTCTACCCTTCAGTCTTACATCATCAATTTTAAAGCTAGTTTATAAAAATAAAAGAACTCGTTTTTGCAGTTAGGGCTATGATTAATATTTTAAAGTGTTTTGAACTTGAAAGGTTTGTCTCTTAACTTTTTCAGATCTGGGATTTCCCTACTGGTTGTAAAATCAAAGACATACCGCAGAATCCTCTCGAACCATGTCTTGTAAGTATTTTCAAAATAACCAATTAAATTTTTTAAAAGATTTTCCATCACAAAGGCTCGCAATTTTTAAATAACAACAAAACAAAATTTTTGAAAAAATACAAAAAAACTCACGTACATAAATCTTGCCATTATTTTAGTTCCAAGAAATAAGACTCAAGATAAACCTTTCGAAAACAGAAACTATGATCTGGAATTGGAATGAAAGTAGTTATGACACCTACCCCGAATCCATCATAAAAATTCAGGATGTGAAATTATTAAATACTATACACTTCAGATACCTCGGAGTATGGATCAGCTATAATGAATTAAGTATAGAAGAAAAAGAAATTGAACATAGAATAGGCTGTGGCAGAGGTAGATTCTCGTCAAAACTGCAGATTATTAAAAACCCAAAACATCAACCTGAAAACTTGAGTCATGTTCTTAAACAGCCTCGTCAGATCGAAACTTACATATGGATGTCATTCATGGCACCAAACCCCTTCAGAAATATCTAAACTGTCAGCTGTATACAACAGCTTCCTAAGATCAATGGTGAATAAAGACTTTGAGCAAGTAAAGCCTGAAGGTTTTGGCAACGATCATACTTCTTTGGACATTACGGAGAGGCGTTACAGATTCACAAAGAAAGAACTGTTCCAAACAGAAACCACATCATTTGATGACTACCAACAGCAGCAATAACTAAAATGGATAGCACATGGAACTTGAAGAGAAAACACTGACATAAGATGTTGACATTCTACACCACTTCAAATGGAAGGTTCAGAGGGAAACCCCCATCAATTCTGGAGAGAGTGGTAACAGAGAATTTATATGGAGAAATAAATTGGAAATTCTGGTATTTTTATTTTTGTGTTGTTTGATTTTGTTTGATTAAGCAGACTCCAATTCAGGGCGGTATTCATTCATGTGTAGCCTGTCTTGAGCAAGTAGACCACAACCGATGTCCCCCGACTCTCGTTGGTTACGGTTACGTGGCTGTTGATTCTATCAGGGCCTTGGTACCCTCCACCCCGGCCTTTGAGTTCTATCTAGGAAGCCCTCCGCCCTGTAATCACCGCACTGACTGCATACATAGCTATGGAGCCCAGTCTCTCCCCACATTGGTTCATCAGCCTTTGAGAAGTCTTATTTTTAATCTGACTGTGTACCTAGGTACTCTCATCAAGAAAAACATGTGTACTATGTCTTGGACACAATACGCATGGAAAAAACAATGACTAACCACAGCTTTTAATTGACAGCTTACAATTCAATGGGACAAATAAATAAAAACTCAGAAGACTAAACAAATCTCAAATCTAAAAGACAGGAAAAACTTCAAGAACGAGTTTATCGCAGCAGATAGAAATTAGAAAGAACGTGGAATCGAGAAACAAGGGGTAACGAACAGACACGGCCGAGTCTACAAAAAGGTAACATAACCTGACTTGAGGCTCAAACCCGATTCTAAGCCAAACTTGCAAATAATAGATTCTATATCGAAGACAATCGCAGAATGAACTTGCAGAAATGTTAAGCGACAAACACATCGTAAGAACAAACTTCCTACCCACAAGAAGACATCAAATTTTAATTAAATTAGGTGTTTGTATTTTACATCCAGTGAAACAGGCATTCTGAGATCGTGTCGTATGTTTTATAACTGTTTTATTGACATTCGATGAAATAAATATTCTGGGACTGTGTCATTTTTTCTTTGTTCAACCATGATCAACATCAATGAAACAAAATATTCTGGGGTTGTGTCATATGTTAATAAAATGTTGCATAGGCATCCAATGGAACAGGCTTCATGGAGCGTGTATTTAAGGATCATATTATACAGGGTGTCCATAAAGTTCGTGTGCACTTTAAATATTTATGACTTTATTTGTACTTGCGATAGAAATAATTTGTAAAAAGGATTAGAAAAAAGTAAATCTATATGTTTTTAAGGTTTTTTGAAATTTTATTTAAGTTTCCACATGTCCTCCATCATTAGCAATACAAAGAGTAATACGATTTTGCAGTTCACGGAAAACATATGCCAACTGATTTACAATAATGCTGAAATCACATTAGTTATTTTATCTATACTTAAAACTAGGTACATTAAACTTTATAACATTTTTTACAGATTATTTCTATCGCAAATACAAATAAAGTTATAATTTTTTTAAAGTGCACACGAACTTTATGGACACCCTGTATATTCTTTACTTGCTGCGTTGAAATCCAACGAAGGAGGATTCTACGTTCTTGTATATTTTCTCCTTTTTCATTGTAGTTGTATTGTGCTCAGTGGATGGGGGATGATTGTATAGTAAGTGGTGGTTCCAATGACAACATGGCCCAGATACATGACCGAAGTTCAACAAAGGTAAGAGTGACCAAACTGATCTTTCTTTTCCTTACAAGAAAAACAAAATGAGAGACGAAGAAAGAAACAATTCTTAACAGTTAAAACAAGAAATCTCTATTTTAAATTGGAAACATTTATTTTTGATGTTACAGTTTATATTTCACTTATTACATCGTTTAAAAGGAAGACTGTGGGTCTGTGAAGTTCGCCACTTAATCTGGTAGAGGAAAACACAAAAATGAAAAGATTATACGTCGACAATTTTATAAGTGACTCCCCGCCTTAAATGATCGCTAACAAAGACCACTGGCTACAGTCATCCATCAGACAAGATATATATATGAGTTTCTTTGACGAACAAGGAAAATTTGGCTAGCTTTAATCTTCGTGCCCGCAAAAAAAGAAGGTGCGTCAAAAGATCGTTTTTTTTCCCTTGACAACGCTATTATTTTGTACAACCTTCACTCCCACGTCAGTGTTTATTTACAAAATTATAAAAGTATGCGAACCGAATACAATGAGATATTTATTATTTATAAAGAAATAAATTTGAAAAGAAATCATTTCATTCAAAAAATTGCAACATTATCAAAATATGCAAACCATCTACAAAGCGGTATTTATTATTTACCAATTTTATAAGTAACAATGAAAGTTTTTTATTCATTATTTTATGAAAATGTCAATGAATTATAAAAGAAATATTTATTTCTTTATAAAATGATAAATATTTCATTGTATTAGTATCTGTCTATATTTCTGAGATGAGGTATTATGTACATTGTTTACATTATTCGGACTATTGTCCTCATCTTTGTCGCCATATTTATTACAACGCTTCGGCCCTTCAGTATCTGTCTATATTTCTAAGATTAGGTATTAGATACACTATTTACATTATTCGAACTATTGTCCTCATCTTTGTCGCCATATTTATTACAACGTTTCGGCCGCTGCACGCTCCGGCCTTCAGTTCGACATTCCAACGTTGTAATAAATATGGCGACAAAGATGAGGACAATAGTCCGAATAATGTAAATAGTGAGCATTGTTATAATTGGTTCGCTTTTTTAGAATGTTGTAATTTTTTAATCATATCAGCAATGAAGTCACTAAGACACAGGGTTACTGAGTGCTGAGGAACAAGAAAAAGGAGAAACATCAGTGAGCGAGAATAGACAATAACGATTGATGTTGCTTTTCAATGTTTAAAGATCAAAGTTGGCTGCAAAACAAGGAGCCCAAAGAGTTCCACATCGAGATATAAAATTATTCTTGCAAATAAACAATCTAATAAATAAATAGATTTTAATATTTTTGTTGTCAATTCTCAGGAAAGAAAATTTTCATATGTTTCGATTTTAAAACAATAAACATTGCCGAGGAAGTAGAGAGTTAAAATAATAGCGGTGTCAAAGGAAAAAACACCCTTTTAGCATTCCGTTTTATTGCGGGCACAAAAGTTAAAGAATTCCGAAAAGATTTTATTCATTTTTTTCTAATATTCTAAGAGTTTTATGAAGACTACAAGAATTCTTTTTAAGATTACAAGTGTTTTTATGGAGACTAAAAGAGTTTTTATGAAGACTACGTGAGTTTTTATGAAGACTACAATAGTTTTTATGAAGACTTCAATTGTTTTTATGAAGACTACAAGAGTTTTTATAAAGACTACATGAGTTTTTATGAAGACTACATGAGTTTTTATGAAGACTACAAGAGTTTTTATGAAGACTACAAGCGCTCTAACTTTGAAGAATGGGGGAAGAATGCGTGACAGAAGAAAGGCAGAAAAACGGATGAAAGGAACAAGAGTAGGAATTGAAACGAAAAGAGACGTTTATTGTCTTGAACGTTATTACTCCTTTACCCCCTTTGATCTTTTAAATTAGGTGAAGCTATATTTATTTTTATTTTGCTAGAATGACGCACAACATACGTAGGAATATACAAATCTACTAAGCGTAGCTTAGATGTGGCACAATGCCAATTTATAGAGCACTCAGTGAGGATCGAACTCATTGATCAGTCATAATTAGTCTAGCAAGACAAGGTTTTGCTAAACATTACACCACATCGAATTGTCAAAGAGATTTTACCAAGCATACCTTTGACATGGCACAAGGCGGAATGTATAGAGCACTCAATGAGGATTGAAATCACTGTTCGGACATAGTTAGACTAGCAAGATAAGCTTTGCTAACCATTACACCACGCCGAAGCGCCCAAACAATTTTACTAAGTGCAGCTTAGATGTGGCACAAGGCCGAATGTATAGAGCACTCAACGAGGCTAGAACTCACTGTTCAGTCATATTTACTCTAACAAGACAAGTGCCCAAACGATTTTACCAACCGTAGCTTAGATTTGGCACAAGGCCGAAAGTATGGAGCGCCCAGCATAATATGAAGTGTATGAGAAGTAGATACTACGCTATTAATATACAACATTAAATAACCATAAAATAAACATGTATAGAACCGTTGTACTGACTACCATCCAGTTCGACATCGAGTCTTGGGTCACATATGGCCACCCAATACGCTACCCTTGAGTGTCCACCAGCGCTGCCTCAGCAACATCTATTGGAGCGATTTCATCTCCAACGTTGAAGTTCTAGCAATGGCGCAGGTCACGCAGGCTGTTGAAGATGCGGCTATACTGGGGAGGACGTTTCTCCAGGATGAACGACCAACAAGCGAAACTGTGCTGTGCGGTGAGCACTCCAGTGGACACTCTGACAGTGGGACGCCGAAAAAGAGATACAGATATTTGCTAAAGTTATTCCTCAGCACGATGGTCGATGAGGCAACATCGACCATCGTCAGTGGTCTGATCTCGCCACAGTCCGAGTAACTTGGCGACTCCTTATCCATCGAACCGTCTATTCTTCCAAGAAAGAACGTAATGGTGACCTGACGGACAAATGTAAAAGAAGAAAAACCATAATAACCGTGTCACTACATAACCAGCCCCGAATCAAACCTTTCCTTGCACCGGAATCTGTTTGTGTCGCTGCTTTTCTGCGAGTGGGGAATCTGCAACAGGCATGAACAGCCCTTTTCCTAGATCTTTGTTTGCGAAGCCAAGTCGGAGAGTATATATATTAGTGTTTTTGTATACGATTGTTCACTCAATACAAGGCCCAAGAGTCACTCAAGATAGAGGGTTACTTAATAAGGTTGTTGTAAGGGCGTACAAAGAAAGGTGTAAGAGGTGCCTATTATGAAGATATGTAAGATAGATAACGGTTGAAGATGTTAAGATTGTAGTGATCGGGGAAACATCCTTTCGCGAGTCTCTTCCACAAAGCAACAGTCCTGGAGAAGAAGCTGCCTAGGCAGAACTTCCTCCTTATCAATGGAATACAAAGGGCACGAGGATGAGTCGATTCTGTATAAGTGGCATGGCGGTTCCTCGCTCTGAAGTTTGGACTGGTGGAACTAAAGAATGTAGCTTACCTGAACATCTGCTATGGAAATAGCGGTAGAGTAGCAAGAGGCTAGCAATGTTTCGTCTATGGGAAAGGAGGTGTAGGGCTGATGTATTGATTGATATTTTACGGCTTATCAACCCTTTGCGGTTTATTTAAAGCCGAAACCTATTTAGGGGGTTATAAAGAATTTTTTTTTTTTTTTTGCAACTGAATATTGTGTTAACAGTCTTTTTGAGAACAACAAAGATTTTTCAAGATACACGTTTTACTATTTAACCCATAGCTGGAATAGATGGATTCATACCTTTCCCAATGTTATTTGCGCGTTAGTGAATAAGCCTGGAATTAGAACTTGGCTCTTCGATTTCTCATTCCAAGTCGCGATCAATTACACCATTTTAGGGTGGGAAATAATTCATCACCAACAAAGCCGCGTCAACGTTTTTGAATTCTGTCGAGGCAACTGTATAGTTTATGGTATATAGTACTTACTCTAGCCCAAAATAGGGTAAATATTTAAAAACCTTTTCCTTCAACATGGAATTGTTTAACACGATTTTCTTTTTCTTGTAGGTCATCGGCCGTCTGTATAATCTTCCGAATTCAGTATATTGTATTGATAATGATGGCAACAGCAACTGCCCGACGTTGGCCGTTGGATTTAGCCGTTTTATTTATATCTTGCGTCCAGAAGCGGAGAGAAGAGTAAAAATTGCAGACAGCGTCCAAGAATATAACTAAACAAAACTCTGTCCAATTCATTGTTAAAATAAATAAAGGAATTCTTTATTTTGGCAGTTTTATACTGAAACTATTTTCTTGTTATTTCTACCCATTTTCATTAACCTTCGTACAATGTTTATTTTTGTTTTGTTTTTATCAGAAGTCGACTCTATGCTTTCACATTCGAACCCCCTACATCCCCTCTCTCACAGATGAAACATCGCAAGCCCCTCACTGCTCTATTGCTCTTCCTTGGAAAATGTTCAGACGAATTACATTCCGTAGTCCCACCAGTTCTAACCTGCTACGCCCATTGTAGCGAGCCACCCCCATTCCTTTCGTATTCGATTGGTGAGAGGTAAATTCCACTTGAGTAGCTTCTTCCCACGAGCAAATGCTCTGCGGAATCGACCTCGATGAGAATGTTTTCCTGGTGACCATAATCTTAATCTATAGTGTTAACCGTTATCTTCCCCTCATATCCGCATAAACTCTGCTCCTTATTCTGTAACCCTCTATCTCGAGTATCTCCCGAGCCTTGGAAAGGGTGAACATCCCTGTAAAAAAAAATCCCCGATAGAAATATCAAAGTTTTCCAGCTTGCTGTTGCTTTTCATCTTTGTTTCCCTGTTGTCAGTTTAAGATAACAACGCCATTTTTTCATGTATTCTGAGCATTTTGCTTAAAATACGAATTTTCTTGATTTATATTCAAACATATTTCACATATAATCATAGTTCAGATATATGGAAAAGATACTTTATCTGTGAAGATCCATCTTGATTACGCCAACCCGACTGGCGCTGCCTTCTTCCCTTGTTTTTGCCGTTGACATCATGTATATTTTCGGCCGTTGGGGTTTTCGGGGGTTAGTCGCTTTCAATCTGGTCCCTCCTCACCGACTTTACCGCCGGTGTGGTGGCCCTACAAGATTTGGAATTTCGATCCGATAGCCCGAGAAAATCAGGTTTGCCAGATTTCGCATGCCTCAATACCCTTTGAGCCGCGAGGAAGGCGCGCTTCTGATCAAATTCCCCCGAATGGCCTCGTCAAACTCTTCTTGACTTCGCTTTCTTCCACCTTTCAGTAATTCCAGCGATGATCCTGTGGGGAGGCGTAGTTAACTGGAGGCCCTTGGTCTACGCCCACACGTTGGCGGCCCGTTCTTGATGGTCGTATCCCTCGTGACCTGCGATGAAGCGAAGTTGCGGGATCTAGACTCTGTACTGGGCTGGCCTCTTCAGGATTCCTACAGCCCACCCCAAGTGAGGAAGGCCTTAGATAAGGTCATCGTGAATACGTCTAGCTGGCTATCCGCAGTCCGTAGATAACCCATTCTTGCGGACTCAAACTGACAAAACCTGTTACTTTCAATATATGGAATAGCAAGCATCAGTTTAAAATGACACCAAGAGAACATGGGTTAAAATGAGGCCTTCTTTTTGCAAAAAATTTGTTTAAAGTCTTTGTTTTCTTGATTTCAAATGAAAACTTGGAAATTTTCCAACATATTTCAGCGAAAACAAAAAGTGCTGCTTATGATTGACACGAGGAGGATACGAGTTAAATCGTCCAAGTTTTTAATTCAAGCCTGATATTAAATTTCTAGCCGGACTAAGCCACTCCAATATCACACGTAACATGATTTTTCTCTCTATCTTTTTTCTTCTATGCGCTGTGTCGACCATGGTTATCCAAAACTTCCTATTCTTTGTAGCCTTTATCAGTTTTTCTAACTTTCTTATACCCCTACACACACACACCGCCTACTCTATCATCCATTCTCACAAGCTTGTCAGATAGATGGTTCACTGCCTTCCCCATTTATTCCGTTTATTCCAAGCCTTCGCGTGGTTGAGCGCGGCTGGAATTCGCGTGAGCATCTTTCTATTTTTAAAAAAACTTTAACACTCTATTTCCACTATTAAATAAGGTGAGGATGATAGTAGGAGAGCGATGTGTAAATACAGTGACTCTCTAATAGCAAGATGTTTCCGATAATTTGATTTGTATAGAATTTTAGTGTTTTCGACCAGAATTTTTCTTAAAGGTTCTTGTAAATTGTGGGTTTATATATATATATTGACATTTTTATTTTTTAACCCATGTTCTCTTGGTGTCATTTTAAACTGATGCTTTCTATTCCATATATTTAAGTAAATGCTCTGTTTTATAATAAATAGTATTAACGACATATATCGGCCTGAATGTCCGAGAAATTTTCATAGAAAATATGCGTCCTCCGACAGTAAAATAGACTTTGCTAACCGAAACGCTTCTCTGTGATTCAATCGGTAAAAGCACGTCAGGCTATATGGCGGTTCCGTAAAGGATACGGGTTTGTTTCCTGTCGGCGGACGCATATTTTCTATGAAAATTTCTCGGACATTCAGGTCGGTAAATGCATTAATACTGTTTATTATAAAACAGAGCATTTGCTTAAATATTTGTATCTATAAAAAGAACGTATAAACATAACAGTGTCTTAAAATAATTGTCAGATTTTGTCCATTTCATAATATATATATATATATATATATATATATATATATATAGTGATTTTCTAAGCGTGGGTTAAATGTAACACGAGGACAAAATTAGAGAACACCCTACGAGGATCGAACTCATTACCCAGTTGCAAATTGGTTGAGCGAGACAAACTTGCTATGCCTGTATACAGACGTCAAAATATGATAGAAAAAATCCAAAATGATCTCCGAAGAGTATATATATATATATATATATATATATATATATATATATATATATATATATATATATATATATATATATATATATATATTAATATATTGTAGCCTCTGTCTGTATGTTTGTTATCGAACTCCTCCTAGGGTTTTTTTGATATACCCCAAGCTACATTTACCCAGGGTACTTGAATAAGTATATTTCATTTTGATCAAAAAGTGACCTAGCCCCCCTCCACATACACACACTTAAGTTTTTTCCCTTTATAAATTAAATTTAAATTTCAACAAGGGATGACTCCTATTCAAAATATAGAAGGATGGGGGTCACATCGGCAAGATCAAAATGAGCAACAAATCACCAATCAGTGGGTAGTGCCTTACAATACATATTTCTTGCAACAATTCTGTCATATCAATGTTGAAATCTGCTCATCAATTCAATCAAGTATTTCATTAAATACATATCAAAGAGGTCAGATTAAACTGTTTTTGCACACAGCCTCCACTGAAAATCTTTATCCCTTTGATTTAAACTAAATTTAAATTTGAAAAAGGAAATGACTCCTATTTAAAATATAGGAGAAAGCCAGATGGAGGTCACATCGGCAAGTTAATTGAGTAATATTGAAATGCATTATTTTTCTCTACAAATTATAACAATGATTTAAAATCAATCATCATTTTCTTACAAAATAAAATGTGTGACACGCAGTAAGGCGCCGGTAATTCGGCTAGTTATAAAATAAAGCACTTGCAGCCAAACCCAATAACACTGAAATTTTTGTCACAACCCGGGGTGCTGATAGGTGTGTAATACAAAAGAAAAGTTGCTAATAATAAACAGGGCGTTGAGAATACGCCCTTTTAAAGACAAAGGACAAAGCATAGGGCAAAGCGAATTCATCCCTTCTATGAATGTGTTAATATTAACCACAAACTTAATAGGATTTCACCTCGCGAACTTTGACCACTACGCCCTACCCGACACTTCAGAAAAATTAAAAGACCACCAACGACGTAAGGAACAAGTAATTTGCTCAATGTTTATTTTCACCTACGAGGCAAGCATACTAAAGAAATTTCACGATCCGACCCACTTCCCAGAAATCAGTAATGGAGAAAGAGTACAGAACGAAAAAATTTCTTAGCGCCCGTTTCTATTTAAAAGACCTCTGATATATATATATATATATATATATATATATATATATATATATATATATATATATATATATTTCAAGGAGGTGCCGTATTTTCTTACCCAAATTCTTTTTATTCGTGGGTAAACTGTGATCGTTGAAATGGGGATTAAAAAAACAAAAAAAAAACACGCGTAAATACGTTATCTTACAATTATTAAAAAAAATTTAATTTATTTGTTGTAGCTATGTAATTTCTTTAAAACACGCATCCCAATGTATGGGGCTAACCACACACACACATATATATATATATATATATATATATATATATATATATATATATATATATATATATCCAGGTACGATGGGAACGAATAGAGTACATTTCAAGTTTCGTAACATTTTATTTAAAAGAGGGCTCAATACATAGTAGAGCAATATTATTTATTTTCGGATATTACAAAAACATGTAAGAATCGCTACACAATTGCAGCCGTGTTTCAACTCATAACGATGCGTCTCCTCAGGTGATTGTAAATTACTGGTGAACGATTAATTTGGTTTCAAAAGCAAAATATATCCTTATTCTTTGGAAAAAGATATAAGGCTTAAGGGCTTTACCCTGATCAACCACTCGAATATGATCTATGTTAATTTTAAAGTAAGCGAAAAAGAAAACAATAGAAATTATTATCTTAGAAATGTGCTATGGCCAAGATTTGGCATCTAACAGCAATCAGACATTAACTTAAAGACTGATACAAATGGTTACAATAAATGTACACATGCCAGACAGGCAATTTTTTATAAGAAATAAAGGCGGGGAGAGGGTAGTGAGGTAATTTAACCGAATGCCCAACTAGTTATAAGCTTTGGGGATTTCCTACATAATTTTTTTGTAACTGATAAATAAGAGGCCTCTTTAAGAAACTAGTAAATAATCTAAACATATAGAATTATTTGGTAAATAATATGCAATCGTTAAATAAATATCATCCATATAAGATGTTAATAATATCAACCAATAAATGAAAAATTTCAAAAATACTAACTAAATTCCAATACATCCGTATAAGATGTTAATAATGCTACCAGGACATCAATACAAAACTAAATTAAATCCAAATTAATCATACAAATAAAAAGATAAGCCATATATTATGCAACACAGTTCAACTAAAATCTAAGAAAAAACATTGTCGAATTCACAAGTTTAACTGAATTGTAACGTAAAAGGTAGACTGTGTTTACAATTTACCGTTAATTCGGATACTTGATTTAATAAAGGATTCTTATCAAAGAACCTGATAATTTCCAATTTTTCATGTAAACACAAAAAACAGGGTTCGTATAAGGATCTACATGTCCTTGCTATTTTTAAAATTTTCCATTTCAACTTAAGAGTTTTATTATCATCTTCTTATTTTATTATCATCAACTCCAAAAATATTTAGAAAGTTATGTATTATTTCTTTAAGTATCATTGATAAAGGCCAAGATATGTTGAAATCACCTAATCTGAAAAGAATTCTTAGTACTACCAATATAGAATTTTTCAACCGTCGGATTCTCTATTGTAGAGATAGTACTTAGGTAAACAAGAGATTTAGTTGAACATTTGTTTAGCAATGGGCATTGATCTGAATTCCTACAATTACATTGACGAGTATCATTAATAATATTTATTTTGGAACGTACATTATGATCCTGATTATTAAATTGGTTTAAAATTTTATTATTGTGTAATTTATAATCTTCTCAAGATTATTGGTACAGCTATAACTTAGTTTTAATGTGTTTCTGTTAAATATTTTACTAAGAGGGTTACTTTTAGGGAAATTAAATGAAGGAACTTCTGGCCTAACTTAGTACTGGCCAACTGGTTAAATGCGGGTGTATACCAAATGATCTTGCTATTTCTGTTTCTTTTCTTTAGACCACTATCATCATATTTTCTATACTTGATTTCAGCGTACTTATAACCACTATTCTTTAAAACAGTATTATAAACACCGCTATATTTATCAAACACATCTTTGCCAGATGAGTAGTTGCTAATCCTACGTTCTACAGACGAAAATATATGATTGATTACAGATGTAGGGTAGCTAGAATTGCGATGAATATAAACTGGTTTGGCATTATTTTTCATATAAGGTTGGAATACACATTTATGAACTTGAAAGAATTAAAACTAAAATAGACATAATACGTCAAATTATTTAACCAAAATGCTTAAATGAAAATATGCTGCCTATATATATATATATATATATATATATATATATATAACTCCACGCCGACAGCACGACTCAGAGTTTCATGCAACACGCAATCGTCAGGTACTGAGAGCTGGTTACAGTCTGGTTAATATATTAGGGTCTCGCTATTTCCCGGTGCTATGAGACACCCAAAAATATTAACCAGACTGTAATCAGCTCCCATTACCTGACGAAAGCGTGGTGAAACTCCGTGTCGTAAAGTCCGCGGTCGGGTATTATGTATATTCATTAATATAGTTAATAGTTTTGCATTGAGCATTGTTATACTTACACCAAA